TTTATATATAAATTTTTTTTATATATATTTTATATAAAATATATATTTTTTAAAATATAAATTTTATATATATATATAAATATATATATAAAAATTTTAAAAAATTTTTTTTTTTTTTTTTTTTTTTTTTTTAAAAATCCCGGGCCCTCTCCCACCGAGCAGGTACCCCAAAAAAAAAAAAAAGAAAATTTCCCCCAAAAAAAAAAAAACTTTCTTTATCATTCAACACTTTCACCACACTCGGGACATTATACTGCTTTGGGAGAGGTGCCCAGAAAACCAAAAAGTTTGAAGCAAATACGTATAAAGATACACAAAATATCCCTCCAAAATGCCAATATCCCCAAAACCCCCTCCTTTAAAATTGCAGGCATTTGGTTTTTCCCATTTCCCGGACTCAAGTCCGACTATAATGAAAAACCTGGGTTTTCCCCGAAACCCTTCACTAAAAATTTTCCCTGCTCACAAATCCAACAGAACGTCAGGGCCCCAAATAAACATTCGCCCCATTCACTCCTATCTTTAAAACGCTCATCACCTTGCTGGAAGTCCAAGCCCCTCGCCCCCAAAACCCCCCTTTACCCCCTCTTTTCCCCAAACCCTTTCCCAGGCGACCCCTACCCCTCTTTTTTCCCCTAAAGATTTATAAAGCCCTTTTTATGTCATTCTACTTTGACCATTCTTTTCTAAAATTAAACCCCAAAACCCCTCAAAAAACCCCCCCTTCTGCCCCCTGACTAAAAACTTTTTTTTAAACCCCCACCTTTTCCAAAAATTTTCCCCCCCAATTTTTTTGCATAATATTTACACCAACCATTCCTTAGACAGGACAACTCCACTGCCTTTCCCAAATGTCCCCCCCCGCTGCTGCATTTACCACCCAAGCTTTCACCCATATAAGAAAATGTTGGGACTATATACTTCATACATTTTTCCCCTTTTTTGCCTCCATAGATAACGTTTTTTTTTTACTCCACATATACCCAAAACCCCCACTCCCCCTTTTTTTTCCCTTTGCAATTTTAAAGTTAACCTCATCCTTTTTTAAAATCCATCCGCCGACAAAGTCAACCCCCTCCCCCCGATCTGAAAAAAATTTACTTTTTCCCCTACTCCTCCCCCCAATTTTTAATCCAATTTTTCCCCTTTTTAAATAAATCTTGAAACCCCTTTATCAACCCACTCTTTTTTAGTTTACTTTCAAAATTTTTACCCTTTTAAAACCCATTTCCCCAAACTCATCCACTAAAACCCTTTTCAATTTTTCTTTAGAATCTCCCATAACCCAGTATCATCACAAAAAGTAAAGTGTCCCAAATTTCCCCTTTTTTAATTTGATTCCCCATAATTTTTAAACCAAACCCCCCCCCAACACCCTAGGGATTTACTTATTTTACAAAAACCCCCCCTTAAATATAAAATTTAAAAACCATGGTGACATTAAAACATCCCTGTCTAAACCTACCTTTTACCGGGAATATTCACCCCCCTCCCTTTTACACACCCAACCTGACTTCACTACCTCATAAAAACTCTTTTTAAAAGCATTTATTTAAATACCAAACCCATTCCAAAAACTTGCCCAACCCTCTGCCACATTGCTCCCTATCCACTCTATCATAAGCCCCTTTTTTAAATCCATAAATGAAAAAAAAACTTCCCCACCTTTTTTAAAACTGTTCCCCATATATGCTTTCCCAAAGTAAAAACTGGGTCTACACCCCTCCCCTACCCCTCTGAAAACCTCCTTGCTCATCCGCAAATTTTTACATTCTGTCTTACCCAAATTTTTTTCAATTATAACCCTATCCGTATACTTTTTTCCCGGTAAAACTCATAAACTTTTTTCCCCTATAATTTTTAAAAATCTCTTTTTTCCCCTTTCCCTTTTTATAAAGGGACTATACATGCTCTCCGCCAATCCCTAGGTACCTTCCCCTCTTTCATACATTTATTAAACAAAAGTACCAACCACTCCAACACTATATCCCCCCCTGCTTTTAACATTTCTGTCATGATCCCATCAGTTCCAGCTGCTTTACCCCCTTTCATTCTACGTAATGCCTCGCGTACCTCCACCACACTTACATTCTGCTCTTCTTCACTCCTAAAAGATGGTATACCTCCCTGGCCAGTGCATGAAATTACCACCTCCCTTTCTTCCTCAACATTTAAAAGTTCCTCAAATATTCTCGCCATCTACCTAATACCTCCCTCTCCCCATCTACTAACTCCCCTACTCTGTTTTTAACGGACAAATCCATACTTTTTATATATATATATATAAGGGCAATGTGTGGTGTAAATATTATGCAGAAAATTCGGAGTGTGGAAATTAGGAGAAGGTGTGGAGTTAATAAAAGCATTAGTCAGAGGGCAGAAGAGGGGTTGTTGAGGTGGTTTGGTCATTTAGAGAGAATGGATCAAAGTAGAATGACATGGAAAGCATATAAATCTATAGGGGAAGGAAAGAGGGGTAGGGGTCGTCCTCGAAAGGGTTGGAAAGAGGGGGTAAAGGAGGTTTTGTGGGCGAGGGGCTTGGACTTCCAGCAAGCGTGCATGAGCGTGTTAGATAGGAGTGAATTGAGACGAATGATACTTGGGACCTGACGATCTGTTGGAGTGTGAGCAGGGTAATATTTAGTGAAGGGATTCAGGGAAACCGGTTATTTTCTTATAGTCGGACTTGAGTCCTGGAAATGGGAAGTACAATGCCTGCACTTTAAAGGAGGGGTTTGGGATATTGGCAGTTTGGAGGGATATGTTGTGTATCTTTATATGTGTATGCTTCTAGACTGTTGTATTCTGACCACCTCTGCAAAAACAGTGATAATGTGCGAGTGTGGTGAAAGTGTTGAATGATGATGAAAGTATTTTCTTTTTGGGGATTTTCTTTCTTTTTTGGGTCACCCTGCCTCGGTGGGAGACGGCCGACTTGTTGAAAAAAAAAAAAAAATATATATATTATATATATATATATGAATTATTATAATTGGGGGAAATACTAAACCCGTAGGGGTCATACGGCACCTGAGGAGGTTATTATTATTCAAAGACATGCAATCAGCCTGTGTGCACCATATTGAAATGGGATGCAATTCAGGTTCAGTTCAAAGAAGGGAAGCCCTTGTGGTTTAGTGCTTCTTTTTGATAATAATTATCAAAGAAGGGAAGGATGGCTCAGTTCCTTGAATTAAGAGCCCTTAACCAACAGTTGAGGGGCTCACCTGATTGCTGGTGTGAGAATACTGCATAATTTAATGAATACATGCTAATGTGAGCTGTTTCGTTACTTTTGCAAGAGCCCCTTTTTATTTCTGTGAAATTTGTAACATAATTCAGACTGTCAAACATCTCTTAGTGGTTTATTAATAATATTTTCAGGGAGCAAGGGGCTAGTAACCTCTTCTCCTGTATAAATTACTAAATTTAAAAAGAGAAACTTTTGTTTTTCTTTTTGGGCCACCCTGCTTCGGTGGGATATGGCCGGTTGTTGAAAGAAGAAGAATATATATATATATATATATATATATATATATATTATATATTATATATATATATATATATATATATATATATATATATATATATATATATATATATATATATATATTTTTTTTTTTTTTTTTTCAACAAGTCGGCCGTCTCCCACCGAGGCAGGGTGACCCAAAAAAGAAAGAAAATCCCAAAAAGAAATACTTTCATCATTCAACACTTTCACCACACTCACACATTATCACTGCTTTTGCAGAGGTGCTCAGAATACAACAGTTTAGAAGCATATACGTATAAAGATACACAACATATCCCTCCAAACTGCCAATATCCCAAACCCCTCCTTTAAAGTGCAGGCATTGTACTTCCCATTTCCAGGACTCAAGTCCGACTATATGAAAATAACCGGTTTCCCTGAATCCCTTCACTAAATATTACCCTGCTCACACTCCAACAGATCGTCAGGTCCCAAGTACCATTCGTCTCCATTCACTCCTATCTAACACGCTCACGCACTCTTGCTGGAAGTCCAAGCCCATAGCCCACAGAACCTCCTTTACCCCTTCTCTCCAACCCTTTTGAGGACGACCCCTACCCCGCCTTCCTTCCCCTATAGATTTATATGCTTTCCATGTCATTCTACTTTGATCCATTCTCTCTAAATGACCAAACCACCTCAACAACCCCTCTTCTGCCCTCTGACTAATACTTTTATTAACTCCACACCTTCTCCTAATTTCCACACTGCGAATTTTCTGCATAATATTTACACCACACATTGCCCTTAAACAGGACATCTCCACTGCCTCCAACCATCTCCTCGCTGCTGCATTTACCACCCAAGCTTCACACCCATATAAGAGTGTTGGTACTACTATACTTTCATACATTCCCTTCTTTGCCTCCATAGATAACGTTTTTTGACTCCACATATACCTCAACGCACCACTCACCTTTTTTCCCTCATCAATTCTATGATTAACCTCATCCTTCATAAATCCATCCGCCGACACGTCAACTCCCAAGTATCTGAAAACATTCACTTCTTCCACACTCCTCCTCCCCAATTTGATATCCAATTTTTCTTCATCTAAATCATTTGTACCCTCATCACCTTACTCTTTTCTATGTTCACTTTCACACATTCCCAAACTCATCCACTAACCTGTTGTGTTAAAATTCCCCAGTTGATACTGTATATAGGTACTTGAGGTATCTACTTGCCATGAAGTAGAAAGGATATACAAGTACTGTAGTTTTGTAGTAATGAGAGTGGTATGAAAGTACTAACAAGAAGTCTGTATTTTGTTTTTGGTCAGCTTGACTTTGAATACAAGGGATATCTGCCTAATTAGTTGTGAGAAATGGTAAAGCTTCTGCAATAATTGTACATGTCTTCCTTTTATTACTATATTTTTGTCTTGTCTCCTTCCCTCTAATCCTGTCTTTGTCTCCTCTTCTAAACCTGTAAATATTTGCATTAATACTGTAATAACTTCCTCCAGGTGTTACGAAAGGGATCTGGCACGTTGTGCGAGGCTCTGTTGATGGTGGAAGCTTATCATGCCAACATTGTGTATCCAAATAAACAAGTGTCTCAGCTTAACAAGCTTACTTCTGATGGTCGTGTCTTAGATCAAGAGACCTATGTTGGAGGTCATGTGGAAGCCATTGAGTCAGGAGTGTTCCGTGCAGACATTCCTTGTAGATTCAGGATGGTAAGCCTTGTATAATTTTGACTGAAAAATGTGTGCTAACCAAATTTAAGAAAAGTGCCTTTCTGGCCACTGCATTTGTAATTGCTTTTGTAATATTTAATATTGCTTATGATTTGAAGCTTTAACCATTCTCCAGTGATAAATATGATCAAATTGTATAAACCAAAGTCATCCCTTACATTAGTAGAGTTAGGCTGCCTTGAGGCATCACTCTTGGCATGATGCAAGGCCTTGATAAGTTCTAATTCATCACAAAATAATTTTTTTTCTTTCAACAAGTCGGCCGTCTCCCCAAGGTAGGGTGACCCAAAAAGAATGAAAATCCCCAAAAAGAAAATACTTTCATCATCATTCAACACTTTCACCTCACTCATACATAATCACTGTTTTTGCAGAGGTGCCCAGATACAACAGTTTAGAAGCATATGTGAAGATTTATAACATATCCCTCCAAACTGCCAATATCCCAAACCCCTCCTTTAAAGTGCAGGCATTGTACTTCCCATTTCCAGTACTCAAGTCTGGCTCTATAAAAATAACCTGTTTCACTGAATCCCTTCACTAAATATTACCCTGCTCACACTCCAACAGCTCATCAGGTCCAAAAAAACCATTTGTCTCCATTCACTCCTATCTAACACGCTCACGCACAGTTGCTGGAAGTCCAGGCCCCTCACCCACAAAACCTCCTTTACCCCCTTCCCTCCAACCTTTTTGAGGATGACCCCTACCCCGCCTTCCTTCCCCTACAGATTTATATGTTCTCCATGTCATTCTACTTTGATCCATTCTCTCTAAATGACCAAACAACCTCAACAACCCCTCTTCAGCCCTCTGACTAATACTTTTATTAACTCCTCACCTTCTCTTAGTTTCCACACACTGAATTTTCTGCATAATATTTACACCACACATTGCCTTTAGACAGGACATCTCCACTGTCTCCAACCATCTCCTCGCTGCAGCATTTGCAACCCAAGCTTCACACCCATATGAGAGAGTTGATACCACTATACTTTCATACATTCCCTTCTTTGCCTCCATAGATAACATTTTTTTTGGTCTCCACATATACCTCAACGCACCACTCACTTTTTTTCCTTCATCAATTCTATGGTTAACCTCATTGTTCATAAACCCATCCACTAATGTGTCAACTCCCAAATATCTGAAAACATTCACTTCCATGCTCTCTCTCTCCAATGTGATATCCAATTTTTCTTTATCTAAATCATTTGATACCCTCATCACCTTCCTCTTATCTATGATCACTTTCAACTTTCTACCTTTACACACCCTACCAAACTTGTCCACTAACCTTTGAAACTTTTCTTTAGAATCTTCCATAAGCACAGTATCATCAGTAAAAACTGTGTCAACTCTCTTTTTGTATTTGATTCCCCATAATTTAATCCCACCCCTCCCCAACACCCTAGCATTTACTTCTTTTACTACCCCATCTATAAATATATTAAACAACTATGGTGACATTACACATCCTGTCTAAGACCTACTTTTACTGGGAAGTAATCTCCCTCTCTTCACACCCTAACCTGAGCCTCACTATCCTCATAAAAACTCTGTACATCATTTAATAACTTACCACCTACTCCATATACGTACTTGCAACATCTGCCACATTGCTCCCCTATCCATTCTATCATATACCTTTTCTAAATTCACAAATGCAATGAAAACTTCCCTACCTTTATCCAAATCTTGCATGTTTACGAGACAGAAAAAAGACACCAGCAATCCTACCATCATGTAAAACAATTACAGGCTTTCGTTTTACACTCACTTGGCAGGACGGTAGTACCTCCTGGGTGGTTGTTGTCTACCAACCTTCTACTGTATTTGGAGTAAAGAAAATAAGAAGTTAGATATATTCTTAAAGACATACAGTTTAATTGACAAACTTGAAAGATTAACTAATGAAGAGAAACGAAGAGTTACATCTTAAAATTAAGATTGTTAGACTGTACTAGTGAGAGTAGTTATGGTATGGGCTTTGTAAAAATAAGTAGAGTTAATTTTTTTTTTTTTCAACAAACAGGCTGTATTCCACCAAGGCAGGGTGGCCAAAAAGAAAAATGAAAGTTTCTCTTTTTAAATTTAGTAATTTATACAGGAGAAGGGGTTACTAACCCCTTTCTCCCGGCATTTTAGTTGCCTCTTACTACACCCATGGTTTACGGAGGAAGAATTCTGTTCCACTTCCTCATGGAGATAAGAGGAAATAAACAAGAACAAGAATAGAAAGAAAATAGAAGAAAACCCAGAGGGGTGTGTACATATATGCTTGTACATGTATGTGTAGTGTGACCTAAGTGTAAGTAGAAGTAACAGGACGTACCTGAAATTTTGCATGTTTATGAGACACAAAAGACACCAGCAATCCTACCATCATGTAAAATAATTACAGGATTTCATTTTACACTCACTTGGCAGGACAGCAGTACCTCCCTAGGCGTTTGCTGTTTGCCAACCTACTACCTAGAAAGTAGAGTTATTTTTTTTTTTTTTTTTTCAACAAGTCGGCCGTCTCCCACCGAGGCAGGGTGACCCAAAAAAGAAAGAAAATCCCCAAAAAGAAAATACTTTCATCATCATTCAACACTTTCACCACACTCACACATTATCACTGTTTTTGCAGAGGTGCTCAGAATACAACAGTTTAGAAGCATATACGTATAAAGATACACAACATATCCCTCCAAACTGCCAATATCCCAAACCCCTCCTTTAAGGTGCAGGCATTGTACTTCCCATTTCCAGGACTCAAGTCCGACTATATGAAAATAACCGGTTTCCCTGAATCCCTTCACTAAATATTACCCTGCTCACACTCCAACAGATCGTCAGGTCCCAAGTATCATTCGTCTCCATTCACTCCTATCTAACACGCTCACGCACGCTTGCTGGAAGTCCAAGCCCCTCGCCCACAGAACCTCCTTTACCCCCTCTCTCCAACCCTTTTGAGGACGACCCCTACCCCTCCTTCCTTCCCCTATAGATTTATATGCTTTCCATGTCATTCTACTTTGATCCATTCTCTCTAAATGACCAAACCACCCCAACAACTCCTCTTCAGTCCACTGACTAATACTTTTATTAACTCCACACCTTTTCCTAATTTCCACACTCTGAATTTTCTGCATAATATTTACACCACACATTGCCCTTAAACAGGACATCTCCACTGCCTCCAACCGTCTCCTCGCTGCTGCATTTACCACCCAAGCTTCACACCCATATAAGAGTGTTGGTACTACTATACTATCATACATTCCCTTCTTTGCCTCCATAGATAACGTTTTTTGACTCCACATATACCTCAACGCACCACTCACCTTTGTTCCCTCATCAATTCTATGATTAACCTCATCCTTCATAAATCCATCCGCCGACACGTCAGCTCCCAAGTACATATCTGAAAACATTCACTTCTTTAATACTCCTCCTCCCCAATTTGATATCCAATTTTTCTTTATCTAAATCATTTGATACCCTCAGCACCTTACTCTTTTCTATGTTCACTTTCAACTTTCTACCTTTACACACATTCCCAAACTCATCCACTAACCTTTGCAATTTTTCTTTAGAATCTCCCATAAGCACAGTATCATCAGCAAAAAGTAACTGTGTCAATTCCCATTTTGAATTTGATTCCCCATAATTTAATCCCACCCCTCCCCCGAACACCCTAGCATTTACTTCTTTTACAACCCCATCTATAAATATATTAAACAACCATGGTGACATTACACATCCCTGTCTTAATCCTACTTTTACCGGGAAGTATTCTCCCTCTCTTCTACACACCCTAACCTGAGCCTCACTATCCTCATAAAAACTCTTAACAGCATTTAGTAACTTACCACCTATTCCATATACTTGCAACATCTGCCACATTGCTCCTCTATCCACTCTATCATATGCCTTTTCTAAATCCATAAATGCAATAAAACTTCCCTACCTTTATCTAAATACTGTTCACATATATGCTTCAATGTAAACACTTGATCTACACATCCCCTACCCACTCTGAAGCCTCCCTGCTCATCCGCAATCCTACATTCTGTCTTACCTCTAATTCTTTCAGTTATAACCCTACTGTATACTTTTCCTGGTATACTCAGTAAACTTATTCCTCTATAATTTTTACAATCTCTTTTGTCCCCTTTCCCTTTATATAAAGGGATTATACATGCTCTCTGCCAATCCCTAGGTACCTTCCCCTCTTTCATAATATACTTAATATACTTAATAAATTACATTGCTATTTACTGATGACTAAGTGCTTTTGATAGATTGAGAAGACATGTATAAGTATGCCTGGATGTGTACAGTAGCTTGCTGGTAGACAAACCATCCAGGGAGGTACAGCACAATGGACCCTTGGTTATCAGCCGTAATCCGTTCCAGAAGCTCGGCTCGGCCTAAAACTGAAATGGCCCAAAAAAACGAAATAATATTTCCCATAAGAATTAATGTAAATTCAATAAATCTGTTCCAGACATCCAAAAATATTAAGAAAAAATACATTTTTTAAAACAAAACAATGAGTACTAAATAAAATAAATAAATGAACATTTAAATCACTATTACATACCTTTATTGAAGACTATGGTTGGCTTATGGAAGACAGAGAGGAGGAGAGGGGAGAGTACTAATTATTGTTTGGAAGGGGAATCCCTCACCATAAGGACTTCAGGTATCAAATCCCTCTCTGGGGTTATGTCCCTTCTTTGTCTTTTACTGCCACTAGGACCAACTTGAGAGTCACTGCACACCTGTCACACAAAAAAACTGTCCAGAGAGGTCTGTTTCTGGCGTGTCTTTAAGATTTTCCTGAAGTGGGACAAGGTTATGTCACTGAACATGTTGCAGATATGGCTTGTTTCAGCTAGGTCAGGGTGATATTTCTCCACAAAAGTTTGCACCTCATTCCACTTTGCACAAATGTCCTTAATCACTGAAGAAGGCACCTTCTCCCC